GCTTCATAAAGGCAGTGGATCCGAGCTCCTGGAGCTCAATCATGCCTAGATCTAAAGGTTAATCAGCTTATCACAGACCCTAGTTCATACCCAAGCTTGGAAATGGCTCAAGAAGGACTTTAATGGAGCTCTAAGGGACTATAAGCATGAAAACAGAGGGAAACTGAGTTATACCTCAAGGAAATCTCTGAAATAACACCAAGATGCCTGGCCTCCTTCCTCTCCTCTTGATCTACTCTCCTTTCTCTCTCAAAGTCTTCAAGAAATCACACCAAGCACTTCAATTTCACAAGGAACGATGTTAGAACGATATAGGGGGCTCTGAGGGTGAATGGGGGCGAGCTTGGGGCGCATAAGGTTGGTTTAAATAGGGTGCAAACCCTTGGAATTAGGGTTTCACCAGACAGCGGGGACTCGCCGAGTCGCCAACTTAAACGTGTTTCATGTCCCGGCTCTACTCGGCGAGTCGGGCCTACAACTCGCCAAGTCCAAGGCTAAAAATGCAAAATACTTAGATAAATTTACATACCAGGAACCAGGTGCTACATGGAGGGCTCGTGGGAAGATGCCTAAATTCTTTGTTAAGAAAGAGGGTATTTCTTTTGCTTTTCCTCTCTTCCCCCCTCTTTTTTTTATATATGAAAAGATTGGCGAGTTATGTTCGAAGCGGTGCTCTGGCTTAACCGACATTATTTGTTGTTTTTTCTAGGTGTGGAGGAGACTGTTTCTTTAGAGAAGGCTCTTTGGGGTTTCTATGACGGCGAGCTTGAGGTTCTCGACGTTGACCTGGTGGAGGCTCTTCCACCTCCTTTTTCTGGCCAAGGATTCGTGACGACTGCCGGTGCTGACAGTCAGACATCTACATCAGAGAGGTAGTAGCTCGTCATGGGGTGCCAGTTTCTGTGATTTCTGACAAGGATGTGCGGTTCACTTCCAGATTCTGGAAGAAATTTCACGACGAGTTGGGTCCGTCTGCACTTCAGCACGACTTTCCACCCGCAGACGGATGGTCAGAGCGAGCGGACCATCCAAATCTTGGAGGATATGTTGCGGGCATGCGTTCTAGACTTTGGTGGTAGCTGGGATACCTACCTTCCCTTGGCAGAGTTTTCCTATAATAATAGCTACCACGCCAGTATCGACCGTCCTCCCTTCGAGATGCTTTACGGGAGAAAATGCAGGACCCCAATATGCTGGGGTGATGTGGGCCTGAGAGTCATGGGGAGTACTGAGGTACTACTCAAGACGATGGAGAAGATCCAACACGTCCAGAGTAGACTCCATACGACCCAGAGTCGGCAGAAGAGCTACGCCGACAGACGCCGATCAGACTTGGAGTTTCAGGTCGGGGATATGGTCCTTCTGAAGGTGTCACCTTGGAAATGTGTCATTCGTTTCAGAAAACGGGGCAAGTTGGGCCCCATGTATATCAGACCTTTCAGGGTGGTAGCCTAGGTGGGCAAGGTAGCCTAGCGGTTGGATCTTCCGGAGGAGTTGAGATAGATCCACAACACTTTTCATGTTTCGCAGCTGCGAAAGTGTATAGCCGACGATTCTGCAGTGATTCCTTTGGAGGACATTCAGGTGGACGACAGCCTGAACTACATCGAGAGACCAGTAGCCATTCTCGACAGGAAGACAAAGGATCTGAGGAACAAGAGGGTAGAGTTGGTGAAGGTGTAGTGGCAACACCGCAAGGGCTCGGAATGGATGTGGGAGTCGGAGGACGAGATGAGGGAACATTACCCCGAGTTATTCCCGGCAGCAGCAACAGACTTCGAGGACTAAGTGTAATTCAAGTGGGGGAGATTTGTAACGCCCGGGATTTATCAGGTATTGTATTGCTTTTAGTCAAGTTTAATTATTAAGTATTGGATTTTTTTGGGGGCAAAGCGTACGCTACGCGTACAAGGTGTACGCACAACGTACACATATGAGGTGCGGATCGAGGCGTACCCATGCGTACGTTGGGCGTAGGGTGACCAGATGCAAACCCTAAATTTTAGGGTTTGCACCCTATTTAAACAACTTATAATCTTCAAAACCCTAATCATCTCAGCCTCCTTTGTCCTCTATGTGCCCAACTCAAACCCTAACCCTCTTGTTTGTATTTTGGAGCTTACTTTGAGTTTTTGGTGTAACTTTGGTGATTTTGAAGAATAATGGGTTTGAAGAAGGAGCAAGAGCTTGGAAAGGGCTTGTAGATCCAGAAGTTTGGCATCATTTCTGACCTATTGGATGTATAAATCTTTCTACTTGGCTAATGCATGCTTAGATTTGATTTTGGGGTGTTTTATGTCACTTTTGGACTCCATTGTTGAGGTTTCTTGTGTCTTGGTAGTTCCAGACCATAAGAGCTGTCCTTTTGAGCTCTTGGAAGCATTTAGAGTCATAAATATCGGACCTTGATGGTTAAGCTACAACCATGCAAGTGTTTGATGGTTATAAAGTTGGTTTAAGGACTTAAATCATGTCTTAACCCCCATCCATGCATGCAAAGACATAAAGTTTGTAACTTTATGGTTTAGGATGTCTTAAAGGACATGGATCTATGTTTTGGACATTAGGACTTAATTGATTAAGTCACAAAAGGAGTGTTAAGGAAGCTGGCTAGTACGCTGGGCGTACACCCTGGTACGCTGCGCGTACTGGGTCAAATTCCCGCTTCTGGTCAAGGCTAGCGTACGTTGGGCGTATGAGCAAGGTACGCCGCGCGTACGCATATAGAGTGACATATATGGGTTTTTGGGCCTGGATTGTTGGGCCTCATGGCCCACTGTGGAGTAAGGCCTCTGGGCCTAGAACTGAGATTTATGGTATTGGGCCTTTTTGGGCCATATTGGGCCATTATAAATTATTTATTTTGGGCTAAGAGTATGTTGGGATTAAGATAAGGCCCATTTGAGGAGTTGGGCCTAATTTAGAAAGTTGGGCCATTGGTGGGCCATTAGTGGGCTTGGGAAGACTATTTAGATTTAGGCCTTTTATGTTAGGGTGTTGAGCCTTAGGAATTGGCCAAATTAGATTAGGGGTAAAATGGTCATTTTACCCTAAGAAGGATTATTAGTTTTTGACTAAGTGTTATTATGGTAATGATAGCTCGGGGAGTCGTCGGAGTAGCTGTTAGAGATTTCTTGCCGTGAGACTTTGCATTCAGCCTTGCGAGGTGAGTTACCTTCCCGGTAGCAGTGGGTCTAAGGCACCAAGACCGGCCCACTAGTAGGAGTATGTAGTTAGATAATTGTCTTTGTGATAATTATCTCGTATGCCACTATCTGTTATGATTTATGTGCTAAGATGCTATGGTATTATGTGATAGTGGTAGGGGTGAAATAGACCCCGTATCCGGTCCATAAGACCGAAAGGGTAGGTCAGGCACCCATATATGCTTGACAATATGACTATATATATGCTATTATGTGGTAGTGGTAGGGGTGAAATAGTCCCCGTAACCGGTTGCAAGAGACCGAAGGGGTAGGCCAGCACCCTGATATGCTAGGCGGTTACCGGTTGAAAGAGACCGAAGGGGTAGGGCAGCACCCTGATATGCTAGGCGGTTACCGGTTGAAAGAGACCGAAGGGGTAGGCCAACACCCTGATATGCTAGGCAATATGTTATTGTATGGTATGTGGTATGATGGGGGAACTCACTAAGCTTTGTGCTTACGGTTATCGGTTTTTGTTTAAGGTACTTATAGCTCGAAGGGGAAAGGGTCGGCTTGATCGTATCGACACCATGGATTTTCCGCACTAGTGATTTTGGGATTATGACTCTGATGATGATTTTATATGTATCCTGGATTGCACAACTAAACTATTTTATGTTTTTCATGGTTATGGGAAAAATGAAATGGTTTGTTTTATGATTGTTAAACTTAAAAATGAAATTTTCGGGTTGTAATTTAAGGGTGTTACACTTCGATTGAGGCCGCTTCTACTGCATTTCTAAGTGTTGTTTATGGTACCTTATACAATAAAGGTATATCACACGATTACTACAACATCCTTACTTTTGTGACCTCGATATCCCGCTTGTGCTCATCCTTAATAACATTTAGAACCATTTATGGGATAATAACTTGAAAGGGTAACAAACTTTTAATTTTGTTCACATTTAGTCATTGAACTTTTTTCGTGCTTGATTTACCCTTGAATTATTTGAAATTGTTCACATTTTACACTTATGACCGGCTAAAAACGGTCATAAGGGTAACATTTACACGTTTCAACAAGTTCAAGGGTTAATACATCACAAAAAAAGTTTAGTGACCAAATGTGATCAAAAGTTAAAATACGTTACCATCTCAAGTCATTATCCTTATGAAAAATATTATAAACAATTCGAGTATATTTTACATCATTTCAAAACCGTTTGGTAAATTTTATATAAATATTTTTTTGTGTTACATTGTCTATAACAGGATATTAATAAATTATAAAGTTAATCACTAAAATTATTAAATTTGTTGAAACTAACCGGAAAAATAACCATTGCCTTCGAAAATTTAACAAAATGAATATGTTCGCTAAATTAACAATTTCATTTATTGTTATTTAGCAAAATATTATGTTTAATTATTTTATATAAATATATTTTAAAATCATATCATCACAATGATCTTGATATTTGATTTGCATATGATTAAACTAAATAAATTTTTTATTTAAATTATTTTTAATTATTGTATGGTTAATTTCAGTTTATTACAAATATTAATAAACAAACATACTTTGTATTATTGCATTAGTTTGGTCTATCTCTTCTACTCAAGAAGTTTGAAGATGTGGTTCATTTAGTTGAAACATTATTAAAAAAACAAACAACACCTTATCCAAATTATTTTATACCGGTAGCTTATCCAAATTCCAAATTGATTAATAGCTATTTAAAAAAACGAATATAACGGGTTCGGATATTTCTCAATTTTGATTATTTTTAATACCAGTAACTAATAGGGTTTTAAGAAGAAAAGCTTATCCAAATTATATTCCGGATTTTTCTAATAAAAATACACAGAGGGGAGATTTGTCTTTGTTGTACGTCATCCAGATTTAGCTTTCTGGTTTCGCTCGCTAGGGTTTCTCTTCACAAATCTCAATCTAATCGAAGAACAGAAAGAGAGACCAATAGGCGGTTACAACTAGGGTTCCAGTTTGTTAGATTTTTCTGCTCCCTATCTGCAACATATTTATCAATAAGAATCCTTTTGTATCTTGATTTACATGAATGGATACAAGTTCATGCCTTGATGATCTCAACACCCTCTCATCCTCTTCTTTACCGTCTCAAATCCATCAAAAGTGAGATTATAGTCTTTGCCTCTTCTCAATTGTTTATAATTTGAATTCGATGGTAAATATGTCAACAGGAACATTACAGGATTGTCGATTGATCTTCCTTGTTTATATACGTGTCTTTTTTATATTACATGAATGTCCAATTTTGGTATTTAAATTGAAAAAAAACATGATCTGTTAGGAATTTATGCACACCAACGATGCCTATTGACATATATCAGATCATTAGACGATCATAATCAGACAAATTATGCTCTCTAACTCTGTCATAAGCAGTAACGTACTAAATAAAAAATTCTGCTCGTTTGTGCTTCATGTTTTGGTTGTTTGCACATTTGATGTCTTCTCAGATTAGCTTCAGATGATAATTTTGTTGTTGAATTGAACTATAATTTTGTTTCTTATAGGTTTCCATGTGGGTGTGCTTGTAGGTTTAGAATGTTATGTCTTATACTGCTTAAGCAAACAAATGATTTTCTTAATGATTGATGGCTAGCAGAACTTTCCCTTATATATTAGCAATGAATGTACTTTGATACCAGCCATCTCACAGACAATTTTTCTTAGTGATAGAAACGTGCTTCATCTGTTGGCAAGAAGGGAGATAGCTCCTAGAACAGCAAAATGCTTGCCAAAAAGGCAGTGGGGAGAAGTTTCTAATCACAAACATCAGTCATTTGTTAAACCTGAAAGCGAAAGAGTGAGGAACTCAAGACGCGAGCTTCTTTCATGGTACATCTATTATTTTCTTATAATATAATTCATAATGCCTCTGAAGAAAAGGAGTAGATTAGCCACAGTGATTGATTAGTTATTTGTTTTTATGTTCCCAGGGTGGAAGCTGAGTCCCTGGGATGTTTATCAGCCAAATATTGTCCTTTGGTCCCTTCTCCTAGGTCAACCATTGCAGCTGCATTTAGTGCAGATGGGAAAATTCTTGCTTCTACTCAGTATGTTGTCAGTAGTCTTTGTTTTGTTCTTTGTAGCATTTCTTTAATTATATTTATATTGAAATCACTTGTTTTGGGATTTACAGCGGTGATCATACTGTTAAAATTATCGATTGCCAAACTGGAAAATGTGAAAAGGTGTTGAGTGGTCATCGAAGAACTCCTTGGGTGGTAAGATGCATGTGCATTACTCACCTTTATCCTTCTCTGATTCAACTGTTGAAATATGAGCCTGATATTGATTGTGGTTTTACAGGTTAGATTCCACCCATTGCATCCAGAAATAGTTGCAAGTGGAAGTTTGGATCATGAAGTTCGATTATGGAATGCAAATACATCGGAATGCATAGGGTCCCGTGATTTTTGTAATGTCTAATCACTTTCTTCCTCTGTTATTCCAAATAAAATAAAACATTTTCTTTTGTTAAAAATAGTCATTATATATATTCTTATATCTTATTTGTGGCAGACCGGCCTATTGCTTCAATTGCCTTCCATGCTGAAGGAGAACTTCTTGCAGTTGCTGCAGGCCATAAGGTTTTATTATTTTTTTTATCAAATCTATTTATAGTTTATTATATTGAGTATTGAGTATTGACATAATCTTTGTATTTCCAGCTGTATTTGTGGCATTACAATAGCAGAGGAGAAACTTCCTCACCTACTATTGTATTAAGAACAAGACGATCTCTTCGTGCTGTTCACTTCCATCCACATTCGGCTCCATTTTTGTTAACTGCCGAGGTAAAGTAAAAGTAAAACACTCTTATCTTGACATGTTTCTTTAATTATTTTTTACTGATTATATGGTTGACTTGACATTGACTTTGACTTTCCAGGTGAACGATCTTGACTCTTCAGATTCAACAATGGCACCGGCGACATCTCTTGGTTATCTGCATTACCCCCCACCCGCTGTATATATGGGAAACATGCATTCCATTGATCGTCTAAGTTTAGCTGCTGAGCTTCCATTGATGCCTGTGCCTCTCTTCTGTTCTCCTGATTCAAGGCCACAACTGCAGATTGGAAACAGAGACAACACACAATCGGATCGGCTTCAAGTTCTTGCAAATGCAACAGAACTGTATGAACAAATGATGGCTTCTTCTGTTCCAACTGAAATGCAAATGGATGTCACTGAGGTACAACCACCACAACTTCCAGATGACTACAGGGAAAGCGGTCCTTCTAATATGGATACTTCCGTGTCCGTGGGTCGACCCACGGACGATCTGTTCAGAGAACGTGTGTGTTGGGAGTTGCCTTTCATGCAAGGATGGTTGGTGGGTCAAAGTCAAAGTCAAAACCAAGCTGAACATTCTGGTAGTGGTGATAGGGGGGAGGCTGTAGAGGCTTCGTTAGTTGTACCATATGGTACAAGGGATGTTTCTTCAAATGCTGCTGCTTCAACTTCTTCTTCTTCTTCTAATAGGGTAAGTGGTGTGATGAGTAATGATGGAATTGGAGGTGATAGTTTCCCTATCATTAGCAGAATACAGTCTCAGCTTTCTGCATCATTAAGTGCTACTGCTGCTGCTGAGTTGCCATGTACTGTAAAACTAAGAATATGGCCTCATGATTTTAAAAATCCTTGTGCTTCACTCAAGGCTGAAAAATGTCGTCTCATAATACCACATGCAGTACTTTGTAGGTAAGCGCGCGTAAATCATATTTATGCCTTGAGTTACATTTACATGTATTGGTTTTGTTTGATGATATTATATTTTACATTGTTTTTGTTAAATGTTATAGTGAAATGGGGGCGCATTTTTCACCATGTGGGAGATATCTAGCTGCTTGTGTGGCATGTGTACTTCCACAGTTTGAAGGTGATCCCGGGATATCAACACAACATAATAATAATAATAATAATAATAATAATAATAATAATAATAATAATAATCATCATCAAGAAAGGGCGGGAACATCTCCAACAAGACATCCCATTTCTGCTCGCCAGGTCATGTATGAACTTCGGATATATTCGCTCGAGGATGCAACGTAAATTTTCAATTCCTTTTTCTATTTATCATTTTATGTTTTTATATATTTCTTTAATTGAAAATTAATAATGTATTGATATTGATTTGATGTAGTTTTGGTACTGTACTTATTTCGAGGCCGATTAGAGCTGCTCATTGTTTAACATCTATTCAGGTAAGTAGGATTATTTATTTATTATATCTAATCTGAATAAATTTACTTTCTGTTTGAATGTAATTTAATTAATTTAAAAATGTTTGCAGTTTTCGCCAACTTCTGAACACATATTGCTTGCTTATGGTCGACGTCACAGTTCCCTTCTTAAAAGCATTGTTATTAATGGGGAGACCTCATTATCCATCTACACAGTTTTAGAGGTTACTTTTTTCTAATTTTCTATCCACATTTGTAGATTGATGGTGGTTTCTTGTTTAAACATATGTTTTTTGGGTTTCAGGTATATAGAGTTTCAGATATGGAACTTGTGAGTGTGCTTCCGAGTGCAGAAGATGAGGTCAATGTAGCTTGCTTTCATCCTCTTGCTGGAGGTGGTCTTGTTTATGGAACCAAGGTCTGTACTTTATCTAAATTAAAAAAAAAAAAAAAAACTATATTTTTATTTTATTATTATTTATTTTTGGTTGTAGGAAGGCAAACTTAGAATCCTTCAGCATGATGGTGGTCATGCGCCCAGACCTGATCACTTTTTTGAAGCAAGAGCAGTTGAGGTACAACCATAATGCATGCATGCAGGTTGTCTAGACTCTAGATACTACTTGTATGTTATCTAAAATTTGCTACAAAATATAACTATTTGGTCATATAATTCTTTCTGTATTTGAATATATTGTAGGTTCAGGCATATGCTTTAGAATGTTGAACATCAATATTGGGTGGTTATATTTCAGTATTTCACATCTCAGGTCCATACCATAAATCATAATCAAATATATTTATTTCGTTACACTTTTGCTTTTGTCAATTGTCAAATGACCATTTTTTTTTTTGTTGGCAGGAAGCTAAAACTGATGCAGCCAGGTGATTTTTTTTACCATCTTTCGTGTGTAGCCTTCCACATGTTTGAGCATTTGCTTGTATTTTAACAACTTGTTGTATACACCCATAAACTAGTCATTACAAATGGCTACACTTTGGATCAATGTAAATTATTAATTACTAGTTTGTCAACTTTTGCTATTAATATATTTTTGTACTGGTCAAAATTGGAACTCAATCATTTATTAGTCAATCATGTTTTTATCAAAGTAGTAAAATTATGTGGTATGAATTGGTAACTTCAAATGATTAACTCCATATAGATGATGTAACAAAACTGATGGTTAAAAAGTAGAGTAAAATCAATGTGCACCATTATTTTATCATTTGTATATTCTTATATAACCTGAACTTATCAAACAGTTTCATCAAGAGTGTTTATCCAACGTTTAAACAATAATAAGATACGAACCCAAACAATAGCGCTATTATGCTTTAAAAAATGTACAAGATCTGTCAAATCTAAAAATGAAAGATATTTTAAAATACATATAAGGTGGAATTCAACTCATCTAATGAAATGGTAACTTCAAATCTAACCTGTCACTTAACGACAAATCTAACTTATTCCTAAACTACTTTTTAAATCCATTTATGTCCACAATATGACTTGAACCCTCAACCTCAAAAACGAATGACAACATCAGATACAATTGAGCTAGAAAATAAATATCAAACACTGAAGTTGGTTACGAACTATCATTTTAGTCATTATCATAACATAAAATTGTTTATTGTATAACAACATAGTGATTTTTTTCGTACATGGAAATATAACAGGTTGTGTTTTTTTTAAGACCACATAGTCTAGGTAGCCACTATCAAGGGGTTTGCCATTTACAAATAATTATTTTAGGCATTATCAGAACAAAATGGTTTTATTGTGCGAAATAATAATATAATAATTTTTCCGCGCATTAAATGATAATAAGTTGAGTTTTTCTATGGTTTTCCCACTTTCGTAGTATATAATTATTTCAATTTTTTTTGTAACCAATCATCTTATATATTTATATATTGTTAGTTTTGTGAAATCTATAGACCATGTTTATTGTCTAAATAACCAACAAACGTATTCTATTATATTAAAAAGGGTATGAACTGTTTTTTTTTCATTCTTTCCCTACGTTATAGAAGTTCTAACATGTCAATTTTTATCTTTCATCAATTGACATTTATATTTGAATCTGAACTGTATTTAAATGTGTATTTAAATGACTATTGAAATGAATATATTGAATTCACATATCATTTCAAGTAAATACCGACATTCACATTAGAATCTAGTAAATTCACATGTGAATTTTAGTAAACTTATTTATTTATTATGGAGTATGTATTTTATGGAATTGTTGTTTTTATGTTCTATATTTTGATTCCATTACACTTTAATAGGGAAAATGACTTGTAAACCCAATCAAGTTTCCAAACCGTTCAAAAAACATCAATCGTATTTTGACTGTTCAAGAAAACCCAATGAACGTAACATTTTGTCTAAAAAAGTCAAAACTAAGTTACACTTTTGTTCAATTCTATGGAAGTCAGAGAAGAGAAACATGTGACATGACTTATTACCATATCGGGAAAATGACTTGTAAGACCAACAATGTTTTCAAACCGTTCAAAAAACCTCAATCATAATTTTTCTGTTCAAAAAACCCAATGAATTTAACATTTTGAACAAACAAAACATGATTGAAGTTTTTTCAACGGTTTGTATACTTCGTTGGACTTTTTTAGACAAAAGGTTAAGTTCGTTGGGTTTTCTTGAATAGACAATACAAAATTGAAGTTTTTTGAACGGTTTGGAAACTTCGTTGGGCTTGTAAGTCATTTTCTCCAATTTAATACATCATAAGCACATTTCTTTCATTTTAGAGCAACTTCGTCACTTATCGTGCTTTATTCATTTCTTTAAGATATTTCATTCATTTTAGAGCAACTTCGTCATTTATTGTGTTTTATTCATTTCTTTAAGATGATTTTTACGTTTCGGACAAGATTAATACATAGACAATACTTCTTGAGCAAATAATAAAGCAAAGAAAAAAGCAAAATAAAGTGACGAAAGAAATCACGCGTGCTATTAAAGTTACTTTCAGGGGCGGAGCTATCATGTATCAAGGTTAGTCCTAAGAATCACCTATTTTTTAAATTTTATTTAACATTTATATAATAAAAACTTTAGTGCATACTTTGCAAAATATTTAGGACCTACCTTATAGTATTGGACAAAATAGAAAAAAAAATGATGGAAGGTTTATATTTAAATTTGCAAAGCAAATGGTTCATATTTATAAAAAAACACATCGGATATAAACATAAAGAGATGTAATTGTTTGATGTTATAAAAAATAACGATGAATGGTTATACGAACACTTAGAACAACAATACAACTTCTCTCATATTGATGGTTGTAGGAAATGTTTGTTGCAAGTGTGCTCTTTAAAAAGAAAAAAAGACTAAATCATGCAAAGTGATTTTTTTTCCAAAAATCCCGATTTAGGTGTCAAATAGGCTGGTTTTTACTGGTTTTAAGGAGTTTGACAGCTCGGATGAACTATATTTTGGAAAAACTGGTTTGACCTGTCACAAGTATTGTTGACTTTTCCGTTTTTATATTCTAGATCGTTAATGCTTATATCCACTGTCATGTAGCATAGGAAAAAACATGTAATGTAAATAGTGACGTTGATGTATGAACTTTGACTAAGTGATGTTGCGGTGGACACTTCTTGATGGCATAATACTATCACCTACTAGCGTGATGCCTTGTTGGCATGGAGGTGTGTGGCCCCAGCCACACGTCGTTAGACGACTGGGACAAAAAAATCACCGTCCATATTTAGATAAAAAAAAAATCATTTTAAAATTAAAATACATTTACCTATAAATATAGACCAATTGAATACAATTATATAATAATCTACCACTACAATCCTTAATTCTATTATCTGTTAGCCAATTCTTATTTGTACTTTTTGATAGCCAAACACTGAGGAACAAAACTCAAACATACCATCTAACCGAAACCCAAACTCCTCAAACCGAGATTAATCGTCCGTGCCAAACACAACACCTCAACAATTCCAACAATAGATTCACGTAGTGGTAGCTTCATGAGTATGCTTCAAAGTTCAGCAATTCAACATCAAAACCTTCTCCAAAATCCTTTCAACAAAACTTGTTCCAACAACCCTTTCAACAAAACATTTTCCAACAACCAATCACATTCCCATAATCCAGCAACAAGGAATTCCCTTTCAACCGGCTAACCCCCAAGTTGAGCTTGAGTTGGTATTGGATTTGCAACAGGGTAAGCACGACAGTCCAAATAACCTAAAGCTTCTAATAAAAAAAAAAGAACAAAAAAAACAAGACTGAAACATATAGGCCCTAAAAATTGGTTGAAAGTTGAGGAAACGACATTAGCACGTGCTTAGGTATCCATCTCCCAAGATAACATTACCCTCCAACCACCTAACCTAAAATGGTTTTTGGGATCAAATATGAACAAAAGCTAATCGACCGCCTAAAGCAGTGAAATGGAATATGAACAAAAGCTAGTAATATAAACAATTTGCACTAAAACTACTAAGATGGATGAGATTACATGCAACATAACTAAATAAATACATGAAAAAACAAAACCAAGTTGAACTAAACCCAAAAATGGGCAAAAAAAAAAAAAAAAAAACAGAGCAATAAAAGAAGCAACATCCAGCAGTCATCAGTCAAATCCTCCTCCAAAGTCCAAACAAAGCATGAATGCTTTCACATCTCTCTGCCAAGCAAAAAATCACACGGTTGTCAAAGGCCTAAAAGTCGAAAATGGGGCCCGTGTCGATAAATGAAGAATCAGAGGAGAAGTCGGGCAACCCATGAGCACCATCTATGAACCCAGGTTCAACAGGCTGGTTATCAAAAATCCAATCATACGGATAGTCACTTAACCCACCCCCACCCCCACCAGGGCCCGCCAAAAGCGATGATGGGTCGGGTTCAACCGTAGCAGCAGACTGTTGGGTCGCAGGCCAACTGAGCCCATTATCCATTGCTTGAGTTCCTTGATCGGGCAAACTCTGGGTGGTATAATCGGAAACAGAAATTGACGGGCTAGGGCTATCTACACGGGTATGAGAAGAAACAGGCTGACCCGCTGGATAACTTGGCTGACCGGATCCGGGTCCGGGTCGGGAATATGATGGGTAAAACGGGCTAGAATTTACTTGAGATTGAACATTATTAGGGTTTGAGTGAGAGTGAGAGTGAGTTGAGAATTGAGGTTGGAGAGGCCATTGTTGATTGATTAATGGATTTACAGTTGGCGATGTGGATGTGGATGTGTGAGGGGGATAAGAAACCGGAGCGTTGTTGACCGGGTTTGGTTGTAAAGATCCTGGATACATGGGGTAGTTTTGGTGTTTATTGGGATTTCCAGAATTACCCCTGTGTGGGTGTGAAGCGTAAGGGTGGTGCCGGTTGGGTGTGGGTGCACCTGCAGCCCCCCCAACCGAACCTGTTCTTTTGAATACTGGCACGTGAAGCTGAGTGCCATGGTGTCCCTTACTAATACTACCACCATGTCTTGTAAGCAAATATTGAGAAACCAAATCTGGATGTAATTTGTTCCTTGATGGAAAAACGGGTCTTCGAATTTGGTTCATCACATTTGGGTGTCGAAGGTTAGCCGATAGGTGGCGTGCACGGATCGACCCGGACCTTGGTGGTTGAGCCATCTGCAGTGTTGGTGTCGGTGGTGGGTGCAGCCCATTAAAGAGTGCCACGTCAGCAACCTTAGGAAGGGTTGGTTGGACAGCTTTACTACCATTTTTGGCGTTTTTCCTCTCGTGTTTCCATAGCTCATCTTTATCAGTGGCATGACAATGGTCCATAGGTGCACTGCCATTGCCCCAATACACACATGGAGCAAGTGAGTCACAAACATAACAGTAGCACTGAAATTCAAATGAAATGGTAGAGATCAAAAGGGCATAATGGTAATTTTTGGAATTTTTCCGTACTGATTAGGGAAAGGTATTTGGATGGATGAGTACTGGGAATTACCTGGTCACAGTGGCTTTGATTTGGAGTAGTGGAAAAAGGGAATTTGATGCAAAGGTGTCTTGGATGTGGATAATCTCGACATGCAACCTGCAATATATAAACTAACATATTAAGAAACAGATAAATCATTCATTCGTGTAGAAAATCATTATCATCATAACATAAATTCGCATACATTCATACAGTTAGTATTGTTAGACAAACAACACAATCTTTTCTACCAAAGATTAAACAATGCCAAAAGAAATTTACACTCTCAAAACTTCCTATAAGCATGCAATTGAGGTTGTAAGCATGTCAAAGTTAACCCATTAATAAAAAAGGATACTTAAGTCACCATGCATGAATGCATAACACGCATTGTAAACAATCAAGAACCCTTCTTTCGCCTCAATTCCAACATTTTTCCACCAATGATAAAGCCAAAAAACTTTCAACAAAGAACCAACTAGAGAATACATATAACAAATAATCTTTAATAGAAACCTAATGAATGATACAGAATGTTCTTTGCAATTCAAGAGCCCTTTATAAAATTGTAAACATTAGATGGATTAAACCCGAAACACTTTCAATCCTGTTTCCTACGGCATTATCATCTCCCATATCATCTTTCCTATAATATAGTACAAACTAAACGCGAAAACCTTTCTGCAATTCAGGAAAGAACCTTCTAAACGACTTCAAAATCATGCAAATAATCCCTCAACTAAAGTTACCTTATTTAACATCAATGAAAATGCCAAAGCATATTATCAAAAAACTAAAGAAGTGATTTTAGAATCATGGAAATAGTAAAATTCTAACCTGTCCTTTTTCGCTAACAACAACTATATCATCGGAATCATCTTCACCGTTGCTGGGATTATCGTTCCGGACTTCCACGGGCTTGTCGGGGTCTTTATCAAGAATCACACAATCATCGTCCAAATCAACTAAAGAATTCTTCAATTTCGATTTCTTAACCGGTTTTTCAGACGGGGAAACCTCACTTACAACCACCACTTCGTCCGAATCATCACCGGAATTACCCTTATTTACCTCGTCTAGAAGTTCTGTTAACCAATCAACGTCGTCACCGCCGTCGGCAATTCCTCTTCCATCATAATCATTCCAACCGACATCCTCATCGGAGCTTATTTCCAGCACCACGGCGTTCGGATCCATCGCAACTTTTCATTAAAAACTCTGAGAAATTCCTCACAGCGACTTGAAAATAGCGAAAAAGTAAAAAAGAACAAAAAAAGAGTGAATATTTGGGAGGGTTTTGAATATTTGGGAGGGTTTCGGTAGCTTCAATTAATTTTCGATAAGAAAAATGGATCGATCGAATAATTTCAACTGTAAACGATAAAATAAGCCCCAAAATGAAGAAAAAACCCTAGTTGTTTCGAAGAGTTGAACTTTCGTACCACACAGAGACTTTTGGGGGTCATTGAGTCGGGAACTCGTTCGACTGAGTTGAATAACTGTTTGACGCGCCTTGGGCAAAATCGTCATTTACATTTTACACCCCTTGTATATAACAAGGGGGTGTAAAATGTAAGAGATGACAAAAATTGGGCAAGAATGGCTACATTTTGAAATATAATTTACAATGAAGTCCCTTTCAGCTGTGTAATTGTTATATACCCCCCTTGTATTTTAAAACCAATGTCCAAAAGAAGCCATTGTTTCAAGTGTTGAGTCAATTATATATATATATATATATATATTATATATATATATATATATATATATATATATATATATATATATATTATATATTATATATATATATATATATTAATTGTGCCTGTGTGCAATATGTTTGTTTCTTGTGTTACCGTCTTTAACATCCAATCAATAGCAGCATGTTGTCTGTTTCCATCGCTTTCTTCTCATCCTTCTTCTTTATTAGTTAAGAAAATCCATAAAATAACTTGTGAGCATTGTACATGTGAACTTATAAAATATACGTACCTGAAAATGACAAGAGTTAAGAAGTTAGAGCTCTATGGTAGAGTTGTGATGAAGTGTATTATAAAATATGAAGTTAATATAAAGAATAAAGTAGGAAATGAAGTTAATATAAACTATGAAGTTGGGCCCAAACCCCTTAAATGGGCCTTACCCTAAAGCCCAACCATTATTCCTAGTCCAAAACACTTGTACTCAGATGACATATAAGAACTCACACACCCAAGCCCAAAAGAAAGCCTAAACTTGAAGTCCAAAATGCAAAAACCCACCTGAATGAGTACGCGGGGCGTACTCAGCTTTACGCTATGCCTACACGCTATCTGGATTGTACATTACGCGTACAGATTTGTACGCCTAGCGTACACATCTATTAAGCCAAAATTTCCATTAAGCTCTTAATGCTTAAGTCCAGAAGTCCAAACCACAAATCTGAGTCCTAACAAGTGTCTAGAACCATAAAGTCACTGACTTGGTGACTTTGCATGCCCCAAAAGAACCCAACTTCAAGATATAGCATTATACTTTCACTAAATGGACACAATCTCATACATGGGGGATTCCAAACCCTAAAGGAGACAACTTTATGAATCTAGAACCTCAGAAACACGAAGAGTGGCAACTCATAGCTCCTGGAGTGGTATCAAACCACTAGATCTCATTCTTGGGGAAAAAAATGAACCAAAACTCATATATAATAGATCTAAGCCATTAATGAACAAGTTCATAACTTTTTACCTCAAACAAGCTGGAAATAAAGCAAATAATCAAGATCCACAAGCTCTTCCTTGATCCACAACCTTGCACCAAACTCCTTCTTCTTGAATATGAGCCAAAACACACCAAGATGCACACCATGAGCTCAAAAAAACAACCATGGAGGCTAATGAACGATTTCTAGGGTTTTGGGGACTTGGAGGCTGGTAGAAAGGCCAACCCAAAAGACTTAATGTGCTTATATAGGGTACAACATCAAAAATTAGGGGTTTCACTTACCCCCTCGTACGCCCCATGATAGTTTATTTTATTTCCTTCTTTTTTTATAGTTTATTTTAGATATTTTTAGCCCCTTTTATTAGTATTGCACTGTATATTCTTTATTTTCTTTATCATGGATCATGTCGGGTACTTTCTATTTTGCATGAGATATTTTGTAGGGTTTTGGAGCTCGTTGCGGTTGTGGGTTAGTTTGGAGACGGGATTTGTGGTGTAACAACCCAAATTTTTACAGAAATTTTTTTAACTTTTAATTCCATAAATATCAACCACAAGGTGTCCAAAAATCTCATTACATAGCCATATTATTTTAAAATTCAGAGTACGAAACTAAATGTGAAAACATTGGAGAATGCATGTCGCGCCATGTGACAACCCGGAATCTTTATCTGTAATTCAAACTCAATCAATGAAAGTCAAACTTGTTTCAACTATCGTTTTACAATGCTTAGGGTCAGTTTGAGAGTCCCTAAGCCAAGTGCACTCAAGGGTTGAAGGTTGGGAAGCGTTATCTTGGAATCTGTAGTTTGCAATCTGTGACATCCCCAAAATCACGGCCAGAAAAGACCGGTTTAATTTATGCTTTTAAAACAATTTCAGAGTAATCCTTTGATTTAAAAGAGTTGCGGAATTTGTTCCCAAAACGAAATATGATAAAATAAGATTTACCAAAACATTTCATAAAGAAATGTATTTTCATTGTATAACAAAACTTGGGATGTCATGTTCCGATAAACAGACCAAAAGCATAAACATTACAATACAGACCTTACAACAGTTATATATAACAGCAGGTCTATAATCCAAAAATAACTTGACAAGTCATCCAACTTATGCTCTGGTGCCACTACCTGTAATACAAAGAAAACTGAGTGGGTCAGGCTTGGGAGCCTGGTGAGCATATAGGGTTTTCAACCACAATAAATAATTATATTTAATTACCACCAACCAACAATAACCCAATTACCCATTCCCGTTATTCTCACTTTACGTCCCTAAGACAACTAACATAAGGGACCTAGTCTAGAAATATTTCATCGGGCGACAACACATGCATTCGGGGGTTTCCCAGCAATATATGTCAAATAAGGCAACCATGAGGGGGATGGAGTACAGCGAATGAACACCCAAGTTCATTAACACCTACAGGTGGCGAGCCTGCTAGCGTTCCACAGGACTGTTTAGAAAAGTCTGTGGTCGTCATCTAAACTCCGCTAGATGACTAAATCAAAAAAACATCGAGGCCTCTCATCTTTTTATCACAAGACAACTATCTACCCATGTTCTACCCAACATTTTAGTAGATAAAATATACATTTTTATACATAATTTAAAACCTGCATAATATGTCATTCAAAACACATTCCAGATAAAGATGAGACATATAAACATAACACGTATTTCATAGAGAATAAATTATATCTATGAGATTAGAAGATAACATCGATACACTACATAACACATATACTTAGTACGTTAAATTGATACTTGTATAAAATCGTGCATTTGAAAGAGATTATGTACCCCTTCAAATCAACACAATATATAAACACATAACACGTATTTATAGTAAATACTTCGTATTATGTATTAGAAGAAAGTGACTACACACTCACTTGATCAGAAGATGATCGGACAGCACTACGGCTTGTAGAAGTAGTATTCTTCGGTGGTGAAACCGGGATCACTTCACACACGGGCTTCTCGCGGGCAGAGCTTCGGCTCGGAAACTCTTTTCTTCTCGGATCTTCGGGGCTTCGGACTTGCTTCGGGTCTCGGGATGATACCGGGGCTTCGGGGGCTTAAAATAGGGCTTAGAGAGAGTATCGGCGTGGGAGAGAAGAGATGGAGCAACCATAATCGGCTGACCCTTGATTTCTATTATAGGCTGAATTTCAGGGTTCAGTCGTGAGTTTTAAGGGCTCACGTCGTGGGGCTTGATCGTCACTGCATGCGTCATCACAAGTGGGGTCTGACAGAGTCCAGGGTGACGTTTTCTGAGTTCACGTCGTGAACACAGTGTCACGTCGTGAGTTCTGACACAGGACGAATTTCGTGCCCCGAACTTCAGAAATTCATATCTTTCGCATACGAGCTCCGTTTTCGACGTTCTTTATATTGCACGCGTAGGTGAGATTATGCTCTACAACTCTCGTTTAGACTCCGTCGGCTAATTTTGACTTTTTTTATTATATTTTTATTATATTATTTTTAGTAGGCCGGGACAGGAAAACTACGTTAGAAATTCATAACTTCTTCATCCGACGTCCGTTTTCGTCTGTCTTTTTACCATTGTACTACTATCGACGAGATCTTCGATTCTCGTTTAGATTGTTTCGGCTATAAACCGCTCGATCTCAAATCGAGTATTCGGGCTGCATACCGCTAAGTCGAAACTTCGGAAAAAATCATAACTTCCTCATACGAAGTCAGATTTGGGCGTTTTTTTGCACGCTCTCGGTTTAACGAACTCTACAACTTCCGTTTAGATCACTAAGGCTAGATATCGCTCTATCTTAAATTCATATTTTACGTCATTCAGCGTCGTGCCGGTTTGTCGCGAAACTTCGACAGGTCATAACTTCTTCGTTATAACTCGGATTTCGGCGTTCTTTATATCTCCGGAATCCTTGTTTCAACCACTACAACTTTATGTAAAGATATCGGGGTTATCTCACACTTATTAATTTGACGCTTATTTATTCTTAATTCAATTAAGCCACAAACGAAGCATAAAACACATAATACTCAAATATTTCATCATTAATACTTCAAAAGAGTTACAAGGTTAACCTAGACTATTACATCAACAATAATGCCTAGCCTGGAACGCGGGGCGTTACACTTCTCTCCCCCTTAGGATGATTCCGTCCCCGGAATCACATCAACAAACAATGCGGATAGCGACTCACACATGTGACTCTCCGTTTCCCAGGTGAGATTTGGCCCATTCGTATGTTTCAACGGACAAGCACTAATTCGACCATCTTGCGTCGCAATTCTTAGTCTTTCGGTCAACGATTGCCTCAGGTTCTTCAATTAACCTTTGTTTTTCATCAATTCTCAATTCAGAAATTGGAATTATATCGGGAACTTCTCCCGTGAACTTCCTCAAATAACACACATGAAAAGTGTTATGAATTCCATCAGTTCTTCTGGTTGTTCTAGCTTGTAAGCTTGGTTCCCAATCCTCTGAAGAACTTTAAACGGTCCAATAAACCTTGGACTCAACTTTCCCCTTTTACCAAATCTTATAAGTCCCTTCCACGGCGAGACTTTAAGCAAAACCGAATCTCCAACTTCAAAAGTCATCGGTCTTGCTTTTTGTCAGCATAGCTCTTTTGACGATCTTGAGCTGCTAACATTCTTTCCTGATCACTTTCAACTTTTCAGCGTTCTGATGGACCTCTCGGGTCCCATAACTGCTTTTCTCCAGCCTCTAGCCAACAAGACGGCGTACGACACTTCTTTTTGTCCGTACAAAGCTTGATAAGGTGCCATCTTTATGCTCGAGTGGAAAC